GCGTGGAGTCCTAACCACTGGACTGCCAGGGGATTCCCATAAGGAACCTTTTTGATTATAGGCTTATTTAAAGAGTCTTAAAATTTTAATATTCTAAAATTTTTTCCTTCAAGACATTCACTTATTTTCTCAATTAAAATTAGCTTGAAAGTGGCCTATTTTAACTTTAATTTTAAACTTGCTGCTTCATTATTTCTTTGATAGTCTCACTCAAGGTTAGGTGGGTAGGCCTTAAGAGAAGCAAAAAAGCCCTACTTTAGATTCACCAAAGCATTTTTTTGTTTTTTGGTTAAATGTTTTTATTTATTTATTTATTTTTTTATTTTTGGATCTGTTGGGTCTTCCTTGCTGCGCGTGGGCTTTCTCTAGTTGCGGTGAGCAGGGGGCTATTCTTCGTTGCAGTGCGCGGGCTTCTTATTGCGGTGGCTTCTCTTGTTGCAGAGCATGGGCTCTGGGTGCGTGGGCTTCAGTAGTTGCAGCACGTAGGCTCAGTAGTTGTGGCTCACGAGCTCTAGAGCGCAGGCTCAGTAGTTGTGGCGCACGGGCTTAGTTGCTCCACGGCATGTGGGATCTTCCCGGACCAGGGCTCGAACCCGTGTCCCCTGCATTGGCAGGTAGATTCTTAACCACAGAGCCACCAGGGAAGTTCCTCACCAAAGCATTTTGAAACTCAATCACATCTGTATAATCCTTTATTAGTTAAAGCAGCTGTCATTTCACTGCTCTTCCAAAAGGAAACCCAAAATGGTACTAATGAAAACATGCTCATTCATTTTTTCCCAAATTCACTGTAATCTCTCTCTCTTGCTCTAATTTTGAACTTGTTTTAAAAAAGGAAATCACTCTTGGATTTTTATGTGGGAGAGATTCATGTTCTTTGATTTTTTAAAAGACCTTTTTTTATACAATTACTTCAGAAACTACATGGGATTGTTTTATTGTAGTGAGTGCTAAATTGCCTCAGATTCTTTAACAAATGAGGCAGGATACGAATGAGTAGAAATGTCACACTTTGAAAGGTAGTATCATACAAATAAATTAATTATCCCCACTCTTTGGTATTGCTGTCTTGTAAGTCTGTATGATCAAGCATAAGTAAAACTCTTTAATTGTTGCCGTCTTTACAGTGCCTCGTCTCCAAGCCATTTCCTTTCCTGTCTCTGAGGCCTGCCCTGTTGGAATGGACATGGTGACAGGTCTGTGCTTTGGCAGGAGTTGCTGCAGGTAGCCAGAACTGCCGTGAGGAGCTGAGCTGTGGAGAAATCTAGATTTCCTCAGAACGTTGGTTTTCTCTTCTGAAAATATCACTGGGGATACAGAGGGTCCATGAGAAAAGCAGAAAAGGGACTATGACCAAGAAAAGGGTTGTCGTAATGAGTTTTAAGAAGAGAGATGAGGAAGAATGGATGCATTTTAAAGATTACGGTGAGGGGGAACTTTAAAGGTAACACAGAACACCTGTTGAAGACCTGCATTTTGCTAAGGGATCCTGAGTGATGGTGATTAAGGAGAAACAAGTCCTTTGCTGTCTTGGAAACTAATAGGCTTTTTGATATTGTTGATTGATTTAATTTTGAAGATTTTGTTTAACATTTTGAGTTAAGGATTCAAAGGTAGGTAGGTTTCTTCTGAAACTGATGAGGGCCTTTGAGTGGTAGGATACAAATAAAATTTTTAAAAGGTAATTCTAAAAAGGGGATTATCAGTATCTGATTATTGAGTATCTGATTATTGAGTATCTGATTCATTTTTTCCCATTCCTAACTTAGTAGATCAAGGATAACATTGTAGACAGGTACAGTTGACCTTTGAACAACATGGGTTGGAACTTTGCAGGTCCACTTATCTGCTGATCTTTTTCAATAGTAAATACTACAGTACTACACAATCCGCAGTTGCTTGAATCCAGGGATGAGGATACAGATGAATCACTGATACAGAAGGCCGACTATAAGTAACACTATTTTCAACTGTGCGTGTGTTAGCACTCCTAACCCCCTCATTGTTCAAGGGTCAGCTGTATAAGATATCCAGGAGAGTTCTTCAGAAATGGAAAAGTTTCTGGGAACATCTGTGCTGGTGATAGTTGTAGGATTTTGGAGATAACCAGGGAAAAAGCAGACATCTCTCCTAGGGCCAGAAAGGCCCAGAAGGTCAAAGGTCACAGGTATTGTACAGGCATTGGATCTTCTAAAAGGTTTGTTGTTTTAAGTATCTGGAATAAGAGGACGGTGGCTTGGCCCATTTTAAGGTAACTACATTTGACCTTTGAACAAAGCAGGGGTTAGGGGTACTGACCTTCTGTGCAGTTGAAAATCTCTGTATAACTTATAGCTGGCCCACTGTTTACTGTGTTCTTCTGTATCTGTGATTCCACATCAAAGATCTGCAGATTGTGTAGTATTTGCAATTGAAAAAACAAAATCTGTGTCAAAGTGGACCCGCACAGTTCACACCTGTGTTGTTCAACGTGTGGGGAATTTGATTGAAGGATAGACCTGACTCCTTTGAATTATTTTTGCAATTTTTCTGTAAGTCTGAAATTTTCTGAATATAAGTTTAAAAAAAAATTGAGCCAGAGTTGCTGGATTAGTCACCAATGAATCTGAATATTTTAATTAACTTACGCAGTATTTGTGTATGGGGTGCTTCCTGACTTTTGTGGTCACCATTCCTTTTCTGTATTACTAACTTGTGTTAACAATAATTGTTAATGTCTGGCATAAGAAAGAGAAAGAATAGTGCTTAGCTATCAGGAGATGGGTTATTCTCTTAGTGAGACCATGAGAAAATCACTGTGGCTGGGTCCCTTAGCTCTTCATCTAAAATTTTTGTGGGGAGCTGGATAAGCTGCCTTCAATAACTAGGTTATAGCAGTTCTGTGATGATGGGCTCCTGATTCTGTGACTCAGGGAGATGTTATGTTATTGTCAGCCACTTGAAGAAGGCCCAAGCCTTCTTACACATGTAAATTGTAAAGATTGAAGAAGTCAGAGCTAGAAGACACCTGTTAACCATCTGATCTGCCCTCCATCTGCAGCACCCGCTTGTTTGCAGCACACCCTCTAAGTTGTTTTGACCAGTGCTCTCTTTTCTAGCCAGTCATCATTTTTCCAGAGACTTGACTTGTATTTTTTTTTAATAAATTTATTTATTTATTTTTTGGCTATGTTGGGTCTTCGTTGCTGCGCTCAGGCTTTCTTTCTCTAGTTGCGGCAAGCGGGGGCTACTCTTCGTTGCAGTGCACGGGCTTCTCATTGCGGTGGCTTCTCTTGTTGCAGAGCACGGGCTCTAGGTGCGTGGACTTCAGTAGTTGTGGCATGCGGGCTCAGTAGTTGTGGCTCGCGAGCTCTAGCGCACAGGCTCAGTAGTTGTGGCACACAGGCTTAGTTGCTCTGCAGCATGTGGGATCTTCCCGGACCAGCGCTCAAACCCGTGTCCCCTGCATTGGCAGGCGGATTCGTAACCACTGCGCCACCAGGGAAGTCCTTTGACTGGTATTTTTAGTCACCCTTTCTTTTAGTCATTTAGAAAAGGAATGTGACTTTCCTTAACTTTAACATTTTCCAGTTCTTTTATATTTAGACTTGACTTTTTTTTTTTTTTTTTTTTTTGCGGTACGCGGGCCTCTCACTGATGTGGCCTCTCCCGTTGCGGAGCACAGGCTCCGGACGCACAGGCTCAGCGGCCATGGCTCATGGGCCCAGCCACTCCGCAGCATGTGGGATCTTCCCGGACCGGGGCACGAACCCGTGTCTCCTGCATCGGCAGGCGGACTCTCAACCACTGCGCCACCAGGGAAACCCTAGACTTGACTTTTGAAATCTATAATTTTCTATTACGGCAGAGATTAACAGGCAGGTGGACTGTTTTCCTCTAGCATCACAAGAGGATTTAGTTGATAAGCATTTGAATATCTAGCAATAGTAATTATATTATCAGAAAATGATGGGAATGAAAGTCAATTTTTAGCAAGAAGATTAAGAATTTAAGTTTGTGCATTAAAAAAAATTTCTAGGTTAGAAAATGTAACAGGAAAGTATCTTTGCTCTTACTAACCCTTTAAATATGATACCCTAAAAAAGAAATGAGGTAAAAATATAAAGAAATAGGCACTCTGCTCTTCTATTGGTGAGGATGTAAATTAGTTTATTCTTTTTTGGAGCTAATTTAACAATGTCTATTAAAACAAAAAAGATCATGCATGCTAACTTGAGTTCCACTTCTAGGAATTTATCCTGTAAAAATACTCATTGCACCATTGTTTATAAAAGTGAAAATCTGAATACTGTTCATTGTTAGGAAATTACGTTAATAAATTATGACATCATACAATGGATTCTTATACAGCTATCAAAAATAATGTAGGAAGCTTTTTAAATGTTAATATAAAGTGCACTATTGCTATTTTTAAAAATTGTGATAAACTATACAAGACAATGTTAAACATTTTAACCTTTTGTAAGTGTACAGTTCAGGGCATTAAATGTGTTCACAGTGTTGTATAACCATCACCACTTTCTACATCTAAAACTTTTTCTTCATCCTCAACGAAAATGCTATATTTATTAAATAATAACCTTCCCTTTCCCCGTCCCAGGAGATTTAAAAATATTGACGTGGAATACTGTCCAAATACATAATTAAGTGATAAAGGAAGATTGCAAAATAGTATAAATACTCTGATTCTACTGTGGTAAATTATTATTATGTTAAATATAAGTGTAGGAAAATCTGGGAGACTACATATGTTAAACAATGGGGGATACTATGGGAGATTTTTACTTTTATATATTTTGGTAATTTTTTGTTTTAAACAATGAATATGTGTAACTTTACTAAGCAGAAGAAAAAGATATAATTTAAGTATTGTACTAAAACATGCTAATTTGGATGCCTCTGATTTTAGGTAACAAATAACAGACTTCCCCGTGTGGTTGCTAAATTTGAGGTTATGTAGAATCTAAATACTTTATTAAAGTAATTCTTTCTTTTCACAGCTAGAGTTGGGAAGACATCACTGATTATGTCTCTGGTCAGTGAAGAATTCCCAGAAGAGGTAAACATTTTGATTTCTTAACTATATTTAAAATTTTTTAAATTTTATCAAAATTGAGTTAAATAGAATATATTTTTGCATGTGGTTTCTTTCTGATAGTTATGACTTTTAGAAAGGCTTGTGGTAGTTTTTACAAGACATCTTTGAAATATAGTGTAGGAGAAAGAGTCAAACTAGTTCTGAGTTCACTAAGTAAGGCCTTTGTGTTTCTTACTTTTGATCTTGGCTAGGACATTTGTCATCTTGTGCCTTAGTTGTCTCATCTGTAAAATGGGAGCTGAAAGGGATGTTAGAGATATCTAAGCTGTATCATCCTCTCTTAATGTTTTTCATAAGCCCAAAATATAGAACAGATGGAGTATTCCTTTAGTTGAAGTAAGGGTAAAAGGTCTGGCTCCCCGCTTGCCTTCCATCTGACACTCCCCAGTCTTTGAGGCATTAGAACCACTAGAATTCTGACACACATATTTGAAAACCTCAAATATTATCCACCTGCATCATTTTACAAATAAAAAATCTAATTCATTCCACCTTTGCCTACCTCAAAGGATTGTTATGGATCTCAAATGAGATAAGCTTAGTAATAATAGAGTGCCGCCAAAAGTTAGGTGGTTTTGTTATTGCTGGCAATGTATTTATTTATTACATTTTGGAAGTTCCAGTATGGGGGACTGTTGGCTAAGGCCTTATGTAACGTTAAGATATTGTTATGAGGAATGGGATCAATGCAGAAGGGATGAAAATTATTTCTTTTTATTTTCTTTCTTCACATGGTAGGTATTATTAGTGCCACGGTTTACATTTATCATTTCTTTACTCTTGTTTAATTAGGAATATCTGTTCAATTTTGCTGTTTAGAGAGGAATTTGATGTATTACGTGGTAGTTATTTCAAAAATTACAACTGCCATGTGACCACTCATTGTTTACTTTTTTTTTTTTTAATTTATTTTTATTTTTGGCTGCCTTGGGTCTTTGTTGCTGTGTGCGGGCTTTCTTTGGTTGTGGCGAGCGGGGGCTACTCTTCATTGCGGTTCGCGGGCTTCTCATTGGGTGGCTTCTCTGGTTTCAGAGCATGGGCTCTAGGCACGCAGGCTTCAGTAGTTGTGGAACTCGGGCTCAGTAGTTGTGGCTCGCGGGCTCTAGAGCGTAGGTTCAGTAGTTGCAGCACATGGGCTTAGTTGCTCCACGGCATGTGGGATCTTCCCAGATCAGGGCTCGAACCTGTGTCCCCTGCACTGGCAGGCGGATTCTTAACCACTGCGCCACCAGGGAAGTCCCACTCATTGTTTCTTTTGCTTTTTTTTTCTCTTAAATAAGATAGTTAAATAAATCATAGCTTAATTTGTAAAATGGAGTGTACTTTCATATGTGGTGTGTGGAATCAGTAACGTTAATTAGGATCACTCAGGTTATAATACCTAAAAGTTTTCTATGATAGTTTAAATTGTCTTTTTATTTTATTTATTTTGTTTTTATTTTTTCTTTAATTCTTTTATAAGTTTATTTATTTATTTATTTATTTATATTTTTGGCTGTGTTGGGTCTTTGTTGCTGCGCGCAGGCTTTTCTCTAGTTGCGGCCAATGGGGGCTACTCTTTGTTGTGATGCGCGGGTTTCTCATTGTGGTGGCTTCTCTTGTTGTGGAGCACAGGCTCTAGGCACGCGGGCTTCAGCAGTTGTGGCACACAGGCTCAGTAGTTGTGGCTAACGGGTTCTAGAGCTCAGGCTCAGTAGTTGTGGTGCACGGGCTAAGTTGTTCCATGGCATGTGGGATCTTCCCAGACCAAGGCTTGAACCTGTGTCCCCTGCATTGGCAGGCGGATTCTTAACCACTGCACCACCAAGGAAGTCCAGAATTGTCATTTTAGCATAGTCCTTTTGGGCGTGGATAAGGAGTTTTTCTAAGTAATAGGGTCATTAAGCATAAGGCTTGTGTAGCCAGTTATCTTCTAGAAGAAATGATTTTGATAATTTATTAATTTATTTGAGGATTATTTTAGATTAACATAGGTCTTCATTTGCAGAGTATCTTAAGCCTTCAACAAAATAGAATGAAAACTACATTTAAAAAATCTAATTTTTAAACACCAAATTAATTTAGGAGCTGAAGTATCCTTAATATGTCCTGTGCCCACATAGGTATAAATGTGCATGTTTTTTTTAAAAACGTGTTTTATCATATGGTTTTCATATATATTTGCATCTGTGGTAAAGCATAAAAATAAGCATTTAAAAGTACAATAAATACTTGTAAAGATAAGTATTGGCAAAAGGGGCTAATATATGGATAAATTTACATAATCTGTTAACAAGTTTGATTGATAATATTCAAAGGTTTTTCCTTTTTTATATTTGTTTGCAAACGAAGGTTCCTCCCCGGGCAGAAGAAATCACCATTCCAGCTGACGTCACCCCTGAGAGAGTTCCAACGCACATTGTAGATTACTCAGGTAGTGAATGTCTTCTTGTAGGTGAAGCTGTAGAGTTAATTTAATAGTCCTTAAAAAGGTACTTAAATGAGCTTTAAAAAATGTTTTAAGAGGGGTGTTCCTTTTCTCTAGCAGTAAATGATCATTTACTATTTTTGTGTTACCCCACACCCCACGAAAAGCAGTTCTCTGTCCCTAATTTACCAAGTTGGATTCTGTAATAACGAAAAAGAAGGAGGGATGGCAAATGACCAGACAAATGATACCCTCCTTGAATTTGCATGTTTGCAGAGAGAAGTTCTGTGTTAATTTTGTTATCAGACATTCAGGCATGCTCTGATGATGTAGAAAGCGTTCTAATTTGAAAAATTTTTGAGTTCTAAATTTGTTTTTTAATTTGTCAGACTTTGTCCTTAAAAAAAAAAAAGCTAAAACAGTTATCATCTTGCTTACAGTATATGATAATGGAAGCACATCTATATTGCCTTTAATAATGTAAAGTTTTTCTACACACTACTACTTTACTTTTTAGTCATTAAATTATTTTACTTTGTTCTGGGACTTCTTTTGGAAAGAAAGGGAAGTTGTAACAGGTGTACCACTCTGATGAGAGATGTTGATACTGGGGGAAGCTATATATGAAGGCAGGAGGTATATGGGAAATCTCTGTACCTTCCACTCAGTTTTGCTGTGAACCTAAAACTGCTCTAAAAAATGAAATCTATTTTTTAAAATGGATATAACTACATTAGTAATACTTTGTTTTGCTGAGCTGGTATTCCATATATTCCAAAAGTGAAATACTTTGCAGTCTGATACATATGACTGTTGAACACTTAAAATGTGTCTGGTCTAAATTGAAATGTGCTCTAAGTATAAAATATAAGTGGATTTAGAAAATGAAAAAAGGAATATACGATATCTCATTAATAATTTTTCTATTGATTACATATTGAAATTTTAATATTTTTGTTATTTTGGGTTAAATTAAAAAGTCATTTTACCTGTTCCTTTTTACTTTGTTTAAGGTGACTACTAGAAAATTAAAAATTTCATGTATGGCTTGTATCATATTTCTGTTGGACAGCACTGTACTAGAAGCTGAGGGGAGTTGGATGTTTTCTGCTACAATCAGTCTCATAACTAGCTTTATTTACAGAATTATTCTTTTTCAATATGTGTAGCCACATACTTAGATTCACTTTAGTATTAGAATTGAGGCCTTAACACGTTGATTACTCAACATTTGAGAAGATATTTAAAATATGGCCAATTTTTTAGCATAAATTGAAATACCATGTACTCATTTGTGATATTAGTTTGTATGTCAGAAATAACATGCATTTTGGGGGGAAACAGTTAACGTAAAGTGATCTAAATTAATATGTCAATAATTGCTTTGGTCTTCATTTGTTTACTTCTCCATTCTAGCTATATGTTGCACCTATCCCCTGCACCTGTGGGATTATAGGCATATCCACCCATTGAGATCCGTTCTAGCCAGAGATATGGGCCAGTGAGGGAATTTTTTTTTTTTTTTAATTTATTTTGGCTGCTCCGGGTCTTAGTTGTGGCACTTGGGATCTTAGTTGTGGCACTTGGGATCTTTTAGTTGAGGCATGAGGGCTTCTTAGTTGCGGCACGTGAACTCTTAGTTGGGGCATGCATGTGGGATCTAGTTCCCCATCCAGGGATCGAACCTGGGCCCCCTGCATTGGGAGTGCTGACTCTTACTCAGTGGACCACCAGGGAAGTCCCCAGGGAATTCTTGACTCATTATCATGGTCCAGTTTTGCTTCTGAGGCCTGGTTAAGATTACTTCTATCTGCTGTCTAGATCTTAAGCTTATATTGCCCAGATTCTCACCTGGCTTTTTGACCCTGTGTGTATAGACTCTTTGGGCTTCTGACTCTCACTTGGGTTTCTGATCTCTTTTCCCAGTCCCTTCTCAACTCTAGATCAGATGCCGGCCCAGATTTATCACACAATGCCTTCTGCTCTTCCTTGCCTGAGTTATCTTCATGTAGACTTGTCTCTCAGTGCCAGCCAGCTTCCTTATCATAGTTCAACTCTGTTTTCTCTGGCTTGCCCTTGTCTTTGCCACTTGTCTGGCACTACACCATGTAAATGACATGAGGGGTGAGGGATGTTTTGTGGGATGTTAGATGGGTGTCATATGGATTTTAGCTTGGCCATTTGTTTTTATGAAAGTGTTTAAAATATGAAAAGAAATTTTTGACTTTGTCATTTGTAGAAGCAGAACAGAGTGATGAACAACTTCATCAAGAAATATCACAGGTAAGTTAAAAAAAAATAGTTCTAGGTTTTCTTGTGGGAAAGCAGTGATGATTCTGTATCTACCATTTCATTCTCTCACTTACCAAGAGGACTTTTTCAGTTCTTTATTGTTACTGCTGACTTTGAGAATGTATTTTTGCTGTAAATCCTTTGGAACCTTTTCCTCTTAGAGGCATGCTAAGTGTTTTAGTTTTCCAATTTTGTTCTTTCTTTGGCCCAAATATATTAGCTAGTTGGTAATTAAATGCTACTTTTGTGTTATTTTAAAATGACATCAATTTGTTAATTTTTCTTGTAGGCTAACGTTATCTGCATAGTTTATGCTGTTAACAACAAGCATTCTATTGATAAGGTATGAATGTATGACATTTTTTCACTATATTTTGTTAAATTTCAGTGGGGGCACTTTTAAAATTGATCCTCAATTTAGAATTTTAGGGGTCAAGGTAGAGTATTTTTCAAAGAAGATCCTCATCGTGGCTTACTTCTTGTTAATTTTCATTTTAGGTAACAAGTCGATGGATTCCTCTCATAAATGAAAGAACAGACAAAGACAGCAGGTAGTTTTTTTCTCTCAAACTTCGTATATTGAAAATTTTCAAACTTAGAGGAAAGTTGCAAGAAATAGTACAATGAACATCTGTAAACTATTCACTTAGATCCACTAGTTAACAGTTTGCCATATGTGCTTTATCTATAGGTCTGTCTGTTTACACACTCACACCTTTTTTGGGAGGAATTATTCGAGGCAGCGCATATATTTGAGAGCAAAGCAGAAAATAGAGCTCTGGTATTATAATGTGCCCTCTCTCTTGAGTTGCCCTTTTGAGGATTGGCAATACCCTAAGTCATTGATTGCTCACCATGTGGTATATGTAAGAGCACAGGACTTGGAGGAAAATGAGTGACCTTGGAAATCTGGCTTGGCCTCTTATGAGCTCTAAAACTTCATTGAGCCTTAGTTTCCTCATCTGTAAGTGGGTAATACTTCTCTTGGCTACATGTGGTTATTTTGAGAATCCAGTGAAATATAATGCATGTATAAGTGCTTTATAAGTTCTCTAAAAATCTTTATAGAGATCTTCATTTAGGAATTCATGCAGGGAGATTTCTTTGAAATTCTTTGGAAGATATATGTATGATAGGGAAAAAGCAAATTCTGTTTTTTTCTAAGCAGATTGGTGGTCCTAGGTATAAATGTTTTGAGCTTTAAATGGAAACAAAACATTCTTGTGGTATTGTTTAATTGAACATATTATTTGTGAAGCATTTGAGTCTTTTTCAAAAAAATTTTTATTGAGATATAATTGACATAAAATTATGTTCGTTTCAGGTGTATAACATCATGATTCAGTATTTGTATATGTTGTGAAATGGTCACCACAATAAGTCTAGTTACTATCTGTCATCATACACAGTTAACTTTTAAATTTTTTTTTTTTTTTTTTTTTTTTGTGGTACGCGGGCCTCTCACTGTTGTGGCCTCTCCCATTGCGGAGCACAGGCTCCAGACGCACAGGCTCAGCGGCCATGGCTCATGGGCCCAGCCACTCCGTGGCATGTGGGATCCTCCCGGACCGGGGCACGAACCTGTGTCCCCTGCATTGGCAGGCGGACTCCCAACCACTGCGCCACCAGGGAAGCTCCCACAGTTAACTTTTAGTATTTACTCTCTTGGCTACTTTCAAGTATGCTCCACAATATTATTGACTATAGTCACCATGGTGAGCTTTACATCCCTGTGGCTTATTCATCTTATAACTGAAAGTTTGTACCTCTTGACCCCCTTCACCTGTTTCACCGACTCCCACCTCCCACCCACTTCTCTGGGAAGCACCATTCTGTTCTCTGTATCTATGATTTTGGTTTTTTTTTAGATTCCACATATAAGTGAAATCATACAGTATTTGTTTTTCTCTGTCTGACTTAACTGTGCTTAGCCTAATTCCCTCAAGGTCCATCCATATTGTTGAAAACGGCAAGATTCCATTCTTTTTTATTGCTGAATAATATTCCATTGTATATATATTCACATCTTCTTTATCTGTTTATCCATTGATGGACACCTAGGTTGTTTCCTTATCTTGGCTATTGTAAATAGTGCTGTAAATGAACATGGGGGCACATATATCTTTTCAAATTAGTGTTTTTGTTTTCTCTAGATAAATACCCAGAAATGGAATTGATGGATTGTGTGGTAGTTCTATTTTTAATTTTTTGAGGAACCTCCATAGTGATTGCACCAATTTACATTCCTACCAAGAGTGCACAGAGGTATATGAGGGTTCCGTTTTCTCCACATCCTCACCAACACTTCTTATTTCTTATCTTTTTGATAATAGCCATTTTACCAGGTATGAGGTGATATGTCATTGTAGTTTGGATTTGCATTCCCCTGATGATTAGTGATGTTGAGCATCTTTTCAGGTGCCTTTTGGCCATCTGTATGACATTTTTGGGGAAAAATCTGTATTCAGATCCTCTGCCCATTTTTAAATCAGATTTTTGGGGGTTTTTTTGCTGTTGAGTTTTATGAGTTCTTTGTATAATTTGGATATTAAATTCTTATCTGATATATGATTTGCAAATAATTTTCCCCCATTCAGTAAGTTGTCTTTTAATTTTGTAGATGATTTCATTTGCTGTGTAGAAATAGAAATTTTTAGTTTGATATAGTCCCACTTGTTTATTTTTGCTCTTGTTGCCAGATCCAAAAATTCATCACCAAGACCAATGTCAAGTAACTTATGCCTGTATTTTCTTCTTGAAGTTTTATGGTTTCAGGTCTTACATTCAGGTCTTTGATCAAAATGGTCTTACATCCATTTTGAGTTAGTTTTTGTGTATGGTGTAAGATAGTGGTCTAGTTTCATTCTTTTGCATGGGGCTGTCCACTTTTCCCAATACCATTTGTGGAAGAGACCATCCTTTCCCTATTATATATTCCTGCCTCCTTTGTCATAAATTAATTGACCATATTGTTTGGGTTCCATTGATCTATGTATTTGTTTTAATGCGAATACCATACTGTTTTGATTACTATAGCTTTGTTACGTAGTTTGAAATCAGGGCGCATGGTGCCTACAGATTTTTTGTTCTTTTTCAAAATTGCTTTGGCTATTCAGGGTCTTTTGTAGTTTCATCCAATAGGATTATTTGATGTATTTCTGTGAAAAATGTCATTGGAATTTTGATAAGGATTGCATTGAATCTGTATATTGCTTTGGGTAATATGGACATTTTCACAATATTAATTCTTCCAGTCCATGAGCACAGAATATTTTTCTGTTTCTTTGTGTCTTCTTCAGTTTCTTTCATCAATAACATACAGTTTTCAGTGTACAAGTCTTTGACCTCCTTGGTTAAATTTATTCCTAGGTATTTCATTCTTTTTGATGCAATTGTAAATGGGATTGTTTTCCTAATTTCTCTTTCTCATAGTTTGTTGTTAGTGTATAGAAATGCAACCAAACTTTGTGTATTGATTTTGTACCCCACCACTTTACTGAATTTGTCTGTTAGTTGTAACAGTTTTTTGGTGAAGTCTTTAGGGTTTTCTATATATAAAATCATGTCCTCTGCAAATAGTGACAGTTTTAGGTGCCTTTTATTTCTTTTTCTTGCCTAATTTTTCTGGCAAGTACTTCCAATATTTTGTTGAAAAAAAGTGGGGAGAGTGGGCATTCTTGTCTTGTTCTTTGAGTCTTTTTAAATGTTAGGAAAACCAGGCTAATATCTATATATTATTCACATCTGGCCCTTTACTTCATTTTTTAGATTTCTTTTTTAGTTGGGCATTTTCATGCCTTGAAACTCTAAAGATCTGTTTCTAAACAGATGAACATGGTGACTCACCCTCTCACGTATTTACTTTGTGACTGAGATGGCATTGTATGTGCTACATCTTGCATCTCTGATGGCTTCTCTTTATCATTGTTTTATCATTAGCATTGTTTTAAAGTCACTTTGTAGTGACTTACTGACAAAGCTGAAAGGAGCTCTCTAGAGCTATACTGTCCGAGGCAGTAGCTTCTAGTCAGTTGTGTCAATTTAAGTAAAATGAAATAAAACGAAAAATTCAGTTTCTTGGACACAGCCACATTTCAAGTGCTTGATAGCCACTTGTGGCTAGAGGTTACAGGAATGGACAGTACAGATAAAGATCATTTCTGTCATCACAGAAGGTTGTATTGGACAGGACTGCCTTGGAGGAAACGATGCCTGTATGCTCCTGACACTTGTTTTTCTTGCTGATTACTTGAACTGTTTCCAGGAGGGACTCTTCAGAGGAGTCAGTTTTGCCAGGATCTATCAAGCACTAGCTTGAACAACTGAATTTTTAAAATGGGCTCTACTATGACAGTTTCCTAAACTGCTCTTTAGAAACTAGCTGGCTAGTCTTGTGGCCCTTTTAGTATGCCATCTGAAAGTGGCTTTCAATATTTGGAGATCTCTAATTGCGCTTTCTCAGGGATGGCTATACTTTTACCCCTCCCTGAATCATGTGAGCATATTTATTTCTCTTGTGGTTGATTTGTTCCAAGGTGATCTATTTCTTTAGTGTATGGACTTCACATTTTCCCAATACCCTCTTTCGTGGGCCTCATACCTTAAGTTTATATTTGTTACACATATGTTCTTACTTAGGACTTCCTTGTACCATTATCACAGTGCTCCTTAGTCAGATGTGCCCATCACTGTCGCCTGAAGTACTTTAAAACAATATAGATGCCTTTGCTCCACCCTTTGAGTTTTAGAATCAGTAGGTTTGGAGTAGGGCTTGGACATGTGTATTTTTTTTTTAAGATCCATAAATTATTCAGAGCCACGTTTGGTTGTAAAGCACCACATTTTTGGAAACCCTTCTGGCTCTATTAACAATCTATATTTGGGTTATGAAGTGGGCCAGTCCTTTTACACATAATAACCACACTAGGTGGTTAAATAAATGCTTGCAAGTATTTCTTTTGCAATCTGGAGTTCCAGCAAGATGATTTGCTTTCCCTTTAAGCTCTCTTGTGGGATGTACAAATAATTGTTCTACACTGGGCTAGTACTCCTTGGTAATCCCCATTCAGATTTCTGATAAGCCTGTCAGATTTAATTTGTTTAAAACAAAATCCTTAATTCCCTGCCTACTCCCCACTGCCGCCCCCCCCCCCCCCCCGATTTCTAAGTCTTTTCTGTCTCAGAAGCTCTACGCATTTTGTCCAGACAAAAAATCTGTTTACTTTTCTTGATTTCTGTTTTCCTTCAATCTCCATATCTAATCTACCCATTGCTCCTGTTTGTTCTACTTCTAAAATATATCTCAAATCTAAATATTTCCTCTTCACCTTCATTGCCCTAATCCAAGATATCACATAAAAAAACTTTTTTATTATTGAAAAAAAATCAGACATATACAGAAGTAGAGAGAATAGTATAACGAATCCCTCTGGATCAGTCATCCAGCTTCAGTAATTAACAACTCATGGCCAGTGTTGTTTCATTTATTACCCCTCCCCTTGGGATCATTTTGAACAAATCAGATATCATATTGTACTGTAAATATTTCAGTATGTATCTCTCAAAGATAACAAATGACTGCATTTTAAAATATCATTTGGATCATATCATTCATCTACTTATAACCCTTCTGTGGCTTCCCTTTTTACACTTAAAATAAACCACACACTCTTTACTGCAGCTGTAATTCCTTTTGTGTCTGGCCTTTGCTCCTCTCTCCAACTCCATTTCATACCTCTTCCCCTTGGACCAGTACTCTTCAGCCACTCTGGCATTTTTCTGTTCTTTGGACTCATGGGAATGTTTTTTCAGTTTGGGGCTTTTGCACATGCTGTCCCTTCTTCCCAGCCAGCTCTTTCTTGGATTTTCACATAACAGATTCCATTTCATCCTTTACTCCTTGGCTCAAATGCCACCTTGTCAGAGAGACTTTTCCCTGATTACCATGTAGAGTTAGCCCCCTCCCATTACTTTATCCCATATCCCCCTGTTTATTTCCTTCATTGCACTTAACAGAATTGGAAAGTGTCTTGTTTGTTTATTTGCTTATTGTCCATTTCCTGATTTTCACTATGAGAGTGAGCAGAGACCTTTTCTGTCTTGTGTCTGTAATGCTTAGAACAGTCCCTGGCTTATAATAGGAACTCAGTAAATATTTGCTGATTATGAACATGCTTTCCAGGGTGCTTGGGCTGACTAAGATAGAGGGTTCATATTGAGGAGATTAAGTAAATCTTATTAGTTAGACTAGGTTACAATGTACATTAAAATATAAATCTAATGTCTTTTGCCTTCCTTATTATTACAATGTGCCCTGTTTATTTCAGGCTGCCTTTGATATTGGTTGGGAACAAATCTGATCTGGTGGAATACAGTAGTATGGAGACCATCCTTCCTATTATGAACCAGTACACAGAAATAGAAACCTGTGTGGAGGTATGCCTTATCATTGGATTTTGAAATTTATAGTTGGTGAGTTCTCACTAAATTGAGGTTCAGAATAGGAGGGAGGGAAGATGTGGGGTGGAATAAATTTGTTTGTGAAGTCTTGTAAACCAAATAAAACAGAGAACTTGGAGATGGCCTCTGAGCTCTTTGTAAACAGTCATATTGTGTTATCCACTAAGAAGAATGCACTTTTTTTCAGTTTCTTCAAGGAATGTTGATAGTTTAAAAAATATTTTTAGCTCTCATAATTGCTTTCAGAGTGAAAAATTTTAAACTTTCTTTTCAGTGTTCAGCAAAAAATCTGAAGAACATATCGGAGCTCTTCTATTATGCACAGAAAGCTGTTCTTCATCCTACAGGGCCCCTGTACTGCCCAGAGGAGAAAGAGGTAAACCCTCCATCCCATCAGGCTGTGTTAGTAGGGGCTGGAATGTGTAGGTAGTAACTCCGTTATGAAAACGATTTTTAGTAACTCTGAAGTATTCATCTAAACTGCTAAATTTAAAATTTATTGCTTACTATACTGTTATATTTTCTAGGTACTTTTCTTCAAAGACATTCATGTTAAATAGTCAGAATAATATTCCAGATCAAATATTATTTCAGGAAGTGCCATTAAAACAAACAGAAGCATTGGCAATTGTAACAACAAAAAGTCCAAAGACTTAACTAATGGTCTACTTGCTTTGCTACAATTAAATCCACAAATCTGTGGGATGAATTGGGAGATTGGGATTGACATATATCCACTAATATGTATAAAATAGATAACTAATAAGAAAGTGCTGTATAAAAAATAAATAAATAAAATAATATTCAAATCAAAAAAAAATCCACAAACTTAAGAACACATACAAGCAAAAAACTTGTGTAATTATTTGAAATGGGTACAATATGTAATACAATTTGAATACTCCCTTTTGTTCCATAGCTTAGAAACACAGTAATTCCTTAATGAAATATTTAAAATTTAACAATATTTTACCGTAGACTTTTTTTTTTTTTTTTTTTTTTTTTTTGCGGTACACGGGCCTCTCACTGTTGTGGCCTCTCCTGTTCCAACGTCGTGCAGGCTCAGCGGCCATGGTTCACGGGCTTAGTTGCTCCGCGGTATGTGGGATCCTCCCGGACTGGGGCACGAACTCACGTCCCCTGCATCGGCAGGCGGACTCAACCACTGCGCCACCAGGGAAGCCCTACCATAGACTTTTAAAATTAATTTTTAAATTGAGATGTAACTCACATACCATAAAGTTCACCCTTTTGAAGTGTTCTCTTCAGTGATTTTTAATGTATTCACAAAATTGTGTGTCCATCCTCACTGTCTGACTCTAGAGCGTTTCAAAAGAAACCTTTTACCCACTAGCAGTCACTCCCATTCCCTCCTTCTTCCTTACCCCAGCTTTTGGCAACCAGTAATCTTCTTTCTGTCTCTATGGATTTGCATATTCTGGACACTTCATATAAATGGAATCATACAATATGTGGTCTTCTGTGTCTGGCTTCTTTTATTTATTTATTTATTTTTGGATTTTATTTTTTATACAGCAGGTTCTTGTTAGTCATCCATTTTATACACATCAGTATGTACATGTCAATCCCAATCTCCCAATTCAGCCTACTACCACCCCCACCCCCACTTCCCCCCTTGGTGTCCATACGTTTGTTCTCTACATCTGTGTCTCTATTTCTGCCCTGCAGACCAGTTCATCTGTACCATTTTTCTAGGTTCCACATGTATGCGTTAATATACGATATTTGTTTTTCTCTTTCTGACTTACTTCATTCTGTATGACAGTCTCTAGATCCATCCACATCTCTGCAAATGACCCAATTTCATTCCTTTTTATGGCTGAGTAATATTCCATTATATATATGTACCACATCTTCTGTATCCATTCTTCTGTCAATGGGCATTTAGGTTGCTTCCATGACCTGGCTATTGTAAATACTGCTGCAATGAACATTGGGGTCCATGTGTCTTTTTGAATTATGGTTTTCTCTGGGTATATGCCCAGTAGTGGGATTGCTGGGTCATATGGTAATTCTATTTGTAGTTTTTTAAGGAACCTCCATACTGTTCTCCATAGTGGCTGTATCAGTTTACATTCCCACCAACAGTGCAAGAGGGTTCCCTTTTCTCCACACCCTCTCCAGCATTTGTTGTTTGTAGATTTTCTGATGATGCCCATTCTAACTCGTGTGAGGTGATACCTCATAGTAGTTTTGATTTGCATTTCTCTAATAATTAGTGATGTTGAGCAGCTTTTCATGTGCTTCTTGGCCATCTGTATGTCTTCTTTGGAGAAATGTCTATTTAGGTCTTCTGCCCATTTTTGGATTGGGTTGTTTGTTTTTTTAATATTGAGCTGCATGAGCTGTTTATATATTTTGGAGATTAATCCTTTGTCAGTTGATTTGTTTGTAAATATTTTCTCCCATTCTGAGGGTTGTCTTTTTGTCTTGTTTGTAGTTTCCTTTGCTGTGCAAAAGCTTTTAAGTTTCATTAGGTCCCACTTGTTTATTTTTGTTTTTATTTCCATTACTCTAGGAGGTGGATCAAAAAAGATCTTGCTGTGATTTATGTCAAAGAGTGTTCTTCCTATGTTTTCCTCTAAGAGGTTTATAGTGTCTGGTCTTATATTTAGGTCTCTAATCCATTTTGAGTTTATTTTTGTATATGGTGTTAGGGAGTGTTCTAATTTCATTCTTTTACATGTAGCTGTCCAGTTTTCCCAGGACCACTTATTGAAGAGACTGTCTCTTCTCCATTGTATATCCTTGCCTCCTTTGTCATAGATTAATTGACCATAGGTGCGTGGCTTTATCTCTGGGCTTTCTATCCTGTTACATTGATCTATATTTCTGTTTTTGTGCCAGTACCCTATTGTCTTGATTACTGTAGCTTTGTAATGTAGTCTGAAGTCTGGGAGTCTGATTCCTCCAGCTCTTTTTTTTTTTACCTCAAGACTACTTTGGCTATTCGGGGTCTTTTGTGTCTCCATACAAATTTTAAGATTTTTTGTTCTAGTTCTGTACAAAATGCCACTGGTAATTTGATAGGGATTGCATTGAATCTGTAGATTGCTTTGGGTGGTATAGTCATTTTCGCAGTATTGATTCTTCCAATCCAAGAACATGATATATCTCTCCATCTGTTTGTGTCATCTTTGATGTCTTTCATCAGTGTCTTATAGTTTTCTGCATACAGATCTTTTACCTCCTTAGGTAGGTTTATTCCTAGGTATTTTATTCTTTTTGTTGCAATGGTGAATGGGATTGTTTCCTTAATTTCTTTTTCTGATCTCGTTGTTAGTGTATAGGAATGCAAGAGATTTCTGTGCATTAATTTTGTATCCTGCAACTTTACCAAATTCATTGGTTAGCTCTAGTAGTTTTCTGGTGGCATCTTTAGGACTCTCTATGTATAGTATCATGTTATCTGCAAACAGTGACAGTTTTACTTCTTCTTTTCCAATTTGTTTCCTTGTATTTCTTTTTCTTCTCTGATTGCTGTGGCTAGGACTTCCGAAACTATGTTGAATAATAGTGGCGAGAGTGGACATCCTCGTTTTGTTCCTGATCTTAGAGGAAATGCTTTCAGTTTTTCACCACTGACAGTGATGTTTGCTGTGGGTTTGTCGTATATGGCCTTTATTATGTTGAGGTAGGTTCCCTGTGTGCCCACTTTTTGGACAGTTTTTATCATAAATGGGTGTTGAATTTTGTCAAAAGCTTTTTCTGCATCTATTGAGATGATCACATGGTTTTTATTCTTCAGTTTGTTAATATGGTGTATCACATTGATTGATTTGCGTATATTGAAGAATCCTTGCATCCCTGGGATAGATCCCACTTGATCGTGGTGTATGATCCTTTTAATGTGTTGATGGATTCTGTTTGCTACTATTTTGCTGAGGATTTTTGCATGTATATTTATCAGTGGTATTGGTATGTAATTTTCTTTTTTTGTAGTATCTTTGTCTGGTTTTGGTATCTGGGTGATGGTGGCCTTATAGAATGAGTTTTGGAGTGTTCCTTCCTCTGTAATTTTTTGGAAGAGTTTGAGAAGGACGGGTGTTAGCTCTTCTCTACGTGTTTGATAGAATTCACCTGTGAAGCCCACCTGGTCCTGGACTTTTGTTTGTTGGAAGATTTTTAATCACAGTTTCAATTTCATTACTTGTGATTGGTCTGTTCATATTTTCTATTTCTTCCTGGTTCAGTCTTGGAAGGTTATACCTTTCTAAGAATTGGTCCATTTCTTCCAGGTTGTCCATTTTATCGGCATAGAGTTGCTTGTAGTAGTCTCTTATGATGCTTTGTATTTCTCTGGTGTCCATTGTGACTTCTCCTTTTTCATTTCTTTTTTTTTTTTTTTTTTTTTTTTTTTGCGGTACGCTGGCCTCTCACTGTTGTGGCCTCTCCTGTTGCGGAGCACAAGCTCCGGACGCACAGGCTCAGCAGCCATGGCTCACAGGCCTAGCTGCTCCGCGGCATGTGGGATCTTCCCGGACCAGGGCATGAACCCATGTCCCCTGCATTGGCAGGCGGACTCTCAACCACTGCGCCACCAGGGAAGTCCTCATTTCTGATTTTATTGATTTGAGTCCTCTCCTTCTTTTTCTTGATGAGTCTGGCTAAAGGTTTACCATTTTGTTTATCTTCTCAAAGAACCGGCTTTTAGTTTTATTGATCTTTGCTGTTGTTTCCTTTGTTTGCATTTCATTTATTTCTGCTCTGATCTTTATCATTTCTTTCCTTCTATTAACTTGGGGTTTTGTTTGTTTTTCTTTCTCTAGTTCCTTTAGGTGTAAGTTTAGATTGATTATTTGAGATTTTTCTTGTTTCCTGAGGTAGGCTTGTATTGCTATAAACTTCTCTCTTAGAACTGCTTTTGCTGCATCCCATAGGTTTTGGATCATCGTGTTTTCATTGTCATTTGTCTCTAGGTATTTTTTGATTTCCCCTTTGATTTCTTCAGTGATCTCTTGGTTGTTTAGTAACGTATTATTTAGCCTCCATGTGTTTGTGTTTTTTACGTTTTATTCCCTGCAATTGATTTCTAACCTCATAGCATGGTGGTCAGAAAAGATGCTTTATATGATTTCAGTTTTCTTAAATTTACTGAGGCTTGATTTGTGACCCAAGATGTGATCTATCCTGGAGAATTTTCTGTGTGCACTTGAAAAGAAAGTGTAATCTGTTGTTTTTGGATGGAATGTCCTATAAATATCAATTAAATCTATCTGGACTATTGTGTCATTTAAAGCTTGTGTTTCCTTATTAATTTTCTGTCTGGATGATCTGTCCATTGGCGTAAGTGAGGTTTAAAGTCCCCCACTGTTATTGTGTTAGTGTTGATTTCTTCTTTTACAGCTGTTAGCA